ATGCAAGAGAGAGACACGGATGAGATAAAATGTAGGAACCTCAGGAAAGGCCAGCCAATACAGCGCCTGTCCTCCGCACCCCTTCTCACTCCCTTGACAATACCTGCAGCAAGAACACTTCAGAGAGTGAGGTTTCTTTCTTACGGTCTTGGGAAAGTAGCCAAGGATATTGTAGCTTTGAGAGTTTTGCAAATCAGCTGTTAATTATATAATGTAGGCAAGCCCATGACCCAGTGGGTAACCTACAGACTGGTAGGCCCAAATTCACAATTTATGCGTTCAAACTATTTGACCATATGTTGCGCTGTGTTTATGAGCGTTACCTGCAGTGTGCTCAGGATAAATTGCCTCCAGGGTTCCATGTGTATTGTGTGAATAAATGTGTTACTGTAATGGTGCTTTTCATTCCAAGCAATATTTCAGCTCCAATGAAAATATACACAAAGTTATAGATATCCCTCCTTTGTTTTTTTCACCTCTTTCTTATTCATGTGAACTCCCTGCACCATTTTACCTGATTGTAAGTGACAGGAGAGCTTACTCCCAGCACCGTGCCATTGGATTAATCCTCAGGCTATACAAATGTAATTTTGTTGTTGTTGGTGTTGTTGCCTTTGCCATTAGCATATACCCAGTGACATGTGAATGACCCAGTTGCTCCCTTTGCCCAGCGAACACCAGCCCGCTTCATGTTCCCTGCCTGATTCACTACACCATCGGTGGATGATCTTTCAACCATTCTGCCCCTGTTCTCAGAGTCCCTCTGCCTCCTTCTTTCCTCCCCAATTTTAAAGCCTGTCTTAAGCTTCGACCGTGCTTTTGGTTAATACCCCACCAGCCTCCTCAGCTTCCCCCCTGCTTCGTCTAAGCTTATGTTTCCACGTCTTTAAGTTGCTGAAACATCTGATTAATTAAGGTAGCTAAAGGAAACACAGTGTTCTGCTGTATCTGCACAGAAATATCCCTTTGATGCAGCTAAAGGAACAGTTTATTTCCCTCCTTGAAAACCCAAAGAAACAAAACTGTGATTGAAATGAACATAAAAAATAAAAACGTTTATTAATATCAATTTTCAACAGAAAATTTGCCAATTGTAAATGCTCTACATATGAAAATTGGGCTCATTGTTTCCAGGTTTTGGACGTCAGTCTCTTTCGATCAACTTACCGTTGTTGCTCAGTAATTATATAGGCAGAAAAGTTGTTAATGTATGACAGAACTGTGCAAATACACCAAAAGACCTGATGCTACTTGATGCATTGTACAGTTGCATTTCATAAGCCTAAACATGCTCCAAAGGAAGGTACTGAACATTTGCTTGAGGCTTTTAGTGTCAAACTGCATTAGATCTTTCACCAGGCGCACAGAGCAGTGGCATGACACATGAAACTAGCCAGATTCTCCACAGTTTACACTTCAGCTGTTGTCTGTTACTAAAACCTGGGACAGAACAGTCTGTCAATCAAATTAGGTCATAGACCTTGTACCCCAGGTGGCACTTATAGACAAACTTTGACCTATCACAATATCGTTTTTTTGGGGATGACTGGAAATAAGCAGTTTGTGAACAAAAAATAGAAAAAGAATTGTGAACACAAACCACTTTTTTAACTCTTCAGTGCAACGATTTAATATGTTTTAGGGAATGAGGCTTTTTTTTTACTTCATACAGTCATGTAATTTGTGATTTAAATGACATCACTTGTTTTCATTTATTTAAGTCTCTGTTCCATACATGTGAAACATCAAAGGTAGACATCAATCAATTGTTTCGGCTTTATAAATTTCCATGTTAAGAAGCCTCTTGGAAAGAAGTACACATGAAGTAGAATGATCAGCACACATAAATCTATCTCTATTTGTATGGATGTATAAAAAACAAAATATACAGTAATATAATAATAATCCTTGCATTTGATATAGCGCCTTATCATGTCTTCTAGATGTCTCAAAGCGCTTCACAGAATATACTGTAAAGTGAATTGACTGTATATGTGGGCGAAACGTGGTAGCTAATTGTGCACAGCAGTGTCGCACAAACAGTCGTGGATTGAAGTGACCAATTTAGTATTGTTTTTTTTTCTTGAGGGATTATTATCAGGCGTGTGGAGTAAGGAAACTTGTCCAAGATTTCATCCTGCCAGGAATCGAACCCAGCTCTCGCTTGCGATGCGAGTCTCTAACCACTGAGCCACAGGCTTATTATTATAAGAACTGATTTCAAGGATTTGTAGACATCAGGAAGTAAATTATTTTGATTCAAATTGATGTGGTATGGTTGTGTTAGGGCATTTTGAACCATTTCAGAAGTTTTTTTTGCAAGAAATTTACGAATCATTTCCCACCCAACGTCAACAACAACAACAACTTGGATTTATATAGTGCCCTCCACCCGGAGGTAATCAAGGTAATCATCAAAACAGATTGTAAACATTAAGAATGTAAGAAATGTGATATTATGCAGAACGTTGAACAATGGTTCAGAGTTGTGCCATCTGGGCAGAGAATTATTGGAGAATGACGCTAAATGTAACACTGCACACAACAGCCTCAACGTTGAACAGAGGAGATGGAAAGTCGAATGGCTTCTATTTAACTTGCTCCGTCTTATGCCTGATTTATATTGCGTCGTTAGTGTCCATTTAACGCTCCCTCCGCATTGACAAATTGCTCCTGCAGTAAAATCCACTATAGAGAGACACTCCTCACTTTGACTCCCTCCCCCAACATCACCATGGTGATGGACTTTGGAAAAGTTAACCAGGAGAGGAAAGGGCACGCCGTAGGGAGAAACTTTTCTAATGAATTTTGATTTGCAGTCTCCAGAACAGCCTACTGAGGGGACAAGCCTGTTGCTGGTATAGGTTGATCGGATTTTTAGGCCTGTTTGATTCTCTCATAATAATTAATGCTTGCAAGTGGATTAAGGAACAATTGTGTCACAGTAACTCTACTGTATAGTACAATTGTTTAAATAAACACCATAAATTGTCATAAACACACACCACTAAGATAAATAACTTCACCAACAAAGGAATGTATAATACAAGCTCGATGCTAGGCTGGTGAATCTACAGACAGGTGGACAAGAGGCACCTCTATTCTTCATGAAATGTTGGCCACACCAGGACAACATTTCGTGAATAACAACAAACAGTTTAGCTTAAAAAAAGAAGAATCCTTGCATTTGATTTAGTGACTTATTTGCTGCCCTCATATTTTGGCATTGATCTTCACTGTCTAGCTTTGGTTACTACCAATGCCAAGTTCATCAGCATAGATGAAGTGTTGTAGCTGGTTCCAGCTCATTGAAACAGTACAATTGAATAATCTAAATGGGTACCTTAACTTACTGCCACAGTGACTTAAGGCCCTGTGAATCTGAAAATGCAGTATTCATTCACCTTAGCAACTGACACTCAGAAAATAGGGTCACATTTTATGCAAATCCAGCTGCTATTTTAAGTTTGTTTTGTTTTAGTATTCGTGAATGACAAATGAAAGGCAGAAAAATACGAAACACATAGAAAGATACATAACCGAAAGGGAGGCACAGCTGGAAATGCAGAGATGCAAACACATTGAAATATAATTCTAATAGGTAATAATAATCCTTCAATTTGAAATAGTGTTTTTTATGTCAAAAGGACGTCTCAAAGCACTTACTAAGAAGAATATGATCTTCATTTAAAACTTCTAAAACTGTCTTGAACTATTTTAAATTAATACCGAAAATTAGAGGCTTTCAGAATCCAAAATTAAATTGGTTGTCGGTGTATCAACAACCAGCATTAATATAGCACCCTTCGCACAGGATAATGTCTCAGCATGCTTCACAGATTCTTTATGTCTATTGTTCTTTAGTTATGAAAATAAGATATAAACAGATTTAATAAAAATATCCTTAAACCTGAAATGCCTCTTCTTCCAAACGTAATACACACCATTCACATCAAGCCCACAAATACTGGCAATTACATGGAATTGTGATATCTAATGAAATGCGCCATAAAGTAAAAGAAAACATTGTTTGAAAGGATCCATATGCACAGTATATTTAAGAACCTCTTATGTTAAGCAAGTATTGTAAACAAAATCAATGTAGTTTGGATGTCGTAGTTTGTAACAGGGATTTGCATCAAAGTTAAAATCATATTACAGTGAAGTCAATTTGCAAAACCAAATTTATTTTAAATTAATAAAGTGTTATTTCTTGCTTGCCTCTGTGCAACCAGTCACCGATACACACTCTCCTCTGGCGAGCGGTTAGCTGGAATGGAACACATTAAATAGGAGGTGAGCTTCAAGAGAAATACACTGAATAGGAACATTGGTCCCTGAGAAATGAAACACCGCCTTGTGCATAGCACTCTATAAACTGCAGCAAGAGCTGTTGAAACTTGCCAAACTGTACACCAACAATAGAAGCTGTGGCCTTCCAGTCTGAACAGAAGTACAAAGTTAAATGGAACGCATTTTCCTAAAACTGTTTACAATTTCAGTTTTCAACACAGACAAGGCTTTTACGATATAATTTATTTTTCCTTTGGGTGCTTGCATTCAACTTTCAAATCAGCAACATTCCCTCCAATGGTAATTCATTGCTTTCTTCATTGCTAGAGAAGCTGGGATAATCTATTCTCAGCTGAAACGTCTCTCAGAGGAAGGAGAATTCCCAAAGCGATGCTTACATGTACATGCCAAAGGCACAAAATGAAGGAATAAAGATCTGGACCAATTCAATTGATGGACTAAGAAGCAACAGGTGAGTTTTAATGGATTAATGGAAGGAAGTGAATTTTGAAACATAAATAGTGAATAAAAACAGATTGTCATCAGCATAGTTGGAGAAGGAAAAAGAGTTTGAATGCGATTATCAATCACTCATTAAAGATTTCCAGTCAACTTGATGGCATTTTACTAGACAAAGACTAGTTATTCTAATCTTGAATAGAGTACAGGTGAGACCATGTCTAGTTTGTTGTGTGTGAGCATCCTACCTTAAAAAGAACATTGAGGGACAGGAGAAGATCCACTAAGTATGATTTGGGGGCTTAGCAATTCAACTTTTCATCAGAAGACCACATAACTGAAGCATACTCTCTGTGGAAAAAATGAGGGGAGACAAGATACAGGTTTTTAAAATGAACTGGAGTTGATGTGACTGCAATTAACCTACATGAAAGCAAAATCAGAGGGTTTAGGTTTAATATTAAAAAGCCTCAAAAGTGCTATGTTTAGAAGACATGTTGTGCTATAAAATAGTGAATATGGGGAAGAAATATTGTGCTGATTAACTCCTTCGGAAAGTAATTGGTTAACTATTTGATTGGGAATAGTGTTAGAGGTGTAGACTGAAATGAACTATTGGATACAATGGTTTCTGTGTTGCTAAGCTTGGAGAGGTGGGAATGTTGCCTGAGTGAGAAAGGAGGTCAGATTTCAATCGTGGACATTTGGGGATTCTTGAATATTCTGGTGTTATTATTGATTACTTTTGGGAATCTGGAGTGTCTATGTTAAACTTTTCCCCAGGAAATAGAATGCATGAAGTCCATGATCGTTGGTGCCACATGATACGTTGAAGGAGTGGACTTCATGGGGAGAATGACCTATTCTTACCTTATTTGTTTTCAATGCAAGTCATCTGTACGTTATGTTTTCATTAACTTTTTAAGTTACACTCATGAAGCACAAATTTGTGTTGCCACCTTCTGCGAGTGCTGAAAGAAAAGAAACAGGACACTGTACTAAAGTACATGGCACATTACTGAATAAATGTTTCTCAGGAGTTCTGGCTGTCAGTATTGACTTATGGCTTCCTGAGAAGTGAATTAGTGCATCTGATTAAAGTTACATTAACAGAAACACAGCTTGATAGTTTTACTGAAGCAATTCTCTCCAAACTTAAATGAAGGGTATGAATTATTGAATTGATGTATTGACTTTTTCATGGACGGCTTAACTGGATCTTCAATGGCTGGTAAGCAGAAAATAATATAAAAATGCAAAAAAAAAACACAGCAACCCAAGTAACTCAAAACCATTCTATTGACCAACAACCTTTTATACCAATGGCAAAGTGCAAAGTAGAACCTAAGAAACAAATTAATATGAAAATAAATGTCCTGTTCTGGTCTGCTGGCATGATATCAAAATCTAATAATAAAAAAAATGTAGCCATTAGCAGACTGATTTTATGTTTCAGTGGTGTCAAGTTATGACACTAATTATAATACTTATGTTATCAGATATGCCTAAATAAAATATACTTTTGCACTGTTATGATAGAATGCTCAAGCCAATGCACCATTTCACCACAAGGCTAAGTTAATTGCCATTTCTCGAAACCTCTCCTGAACAATGGTAATGCCATTCCACAAGACAAAAAATGACCCTTTACTCATACATGGAAACATCTTAAGAATAGCATCACTTTAACCATACACTTTTTGGAGACTCCTGATGGAAAGTGCTCACGTGTGGACACCAAATGAGGACAGCATTGGTTTCAACTGTAATGCCCCAAATCTCTCAATAGCAATCGAGAGTGGGAACCCTTGGCTGATTTCAATGCCAGCCCAGTACTGAGGCCAATTGGAGATCTCTAACGGAGTGCTTTTGCCTTGTAGGACATCAAGGAAGAGGTAGCTGATGCCTCTATCAGTACCTATGCCTTAAAAGTTAAAATTATGTGTAGTTAGTTCTTATTAATGTTTAAAACAAGGCATAACAAAAATTTTAAAAATCATTAGCTCCTTTACTACTTTGCGTGAGAATGACAGAATTATTATTTTTTGTTAAAAAAATGATAATCCAATTTACTCTGGCTCTTCCTAAAGATGCTTCAAAATTTGGAACTAAACTAAACAATAAATCAGTTTCTCAATCTGATAATGCACAAGTAGATTTGATTTATGTGCTTTGCTGTCAATTACAGACAAATGAACTTTACACATTACAAAGCTGCTTAAATATACAACCATGATTCCCACCCACAACAAAACACTCTTAAAATTTAATTTATTTTGATCAATCGTAGCTCTATCATTTCCAAATGTGCATTACAATGTAGTTACTTGTGTGTTATGTTCGTAATTAATACCACTGACAACTGCAACATGATTTCCTTATTAAGACTTTGAACTTATTAAGAAAATACTTGATTACTTAAGTGTGACTCATTACTGCTGTTCTGCCAGCTATTTGAGAAATCCCGCTGAAGTGTGCTTGTTGTGCATGTTTTGTTGTCAGCTGACTTTCAGGCTGGCTGCTGATCTCTTCTGATATACAGTACATGACACACCAATGAGACACGGTCTTTAATCAGAATGATGAGGATTCAAGGGTACAGCATTGTCAGTGGGTTGAATTAAGTCAGCAGTTAGCAGCTGTGTGCACAAGTCAGATGGAATGAACAATTTTTGAAAAAACCACAGGGGTTAAGGAATCACTGGTGGAAATGTTACGCTTTCAGATAAACTCAAAAAGTCATGCAGATGCTAGGGTTTCCACAGCTGTAAAGCATTAAGTCACATAAATGCAGTGTTACCTTGTCTTAATGATCTTTGTCACCACCGAATGTTTTGAAGTGTTATGAGAGTTATCTGAAAATAAATGTGCTATACTGTGAAGGGAAGTATAGGGACATGTACAAAAAGTAAACACTAAATCGCCTCCCATCACTGTGCAGGCCTACAATATGATCAAAGTAACTTGTGAGTGTTAAACGTTAATCAAAGTAACTTGTAAGTGTTAATGATTTGGTGTAACCAAATCTTTTAAATCTGAACAATAAGATTGCTTCATGATTATGTTTCATGATTATGAAATAAATAGGTAATAATGGATTTTAGTTAATAATGGTGCCATTACCTTCATCCTAATACTTCAGTCTAATCTGCATGAACAAAATGTTAAAAAGCAGAAGAGTTTTGCCTAACAAAAAGAAAGGTTTTCATTTATGTAACAATAATTGGCAATGAGTTGATAAGATTCTGAGTGTCATTGCTTTCAATGTTTATAATATGTTACAAACACCTACATTATTTATTGTTAGATAATCATTTACTACAAACACCCTACATTATTTATTGTTAGATAATCATTTACTACAAACACCTACAGTATGTCTTGTTAGACAATCATTTAAAATATGCCTAAAATGAAAGTTAATTCATTACAATGTTTAATTCTTTATTGGTACATTTAAAGATTACTAAGCCTAGATATAATGTAGTGTGATTAGGGAAGCAACATGTTGAGGCTCAGCATGGTGTTGGTAAATGCACTGGAAGTCTATCGGGAGTCTAGACACAGGTCCTTGGAAATTGGTAATGCATCTCTGGTAAGTAAACTTAAATTCACTTAGAACCGTCTGCCGAAAAGGGTGTTAGTTCACTAACGGGGTTAAAAAATGAATGGCCACTGGTTGTGTTAGACAGTTGGTTGCTCAATAGAGGTGCTTTATTATGGAAAATCAGTCAGGACAATTCCTGTGTGGTTGATGACAGCAGATGGTTGCTGAATAGAGGTGGTTGCTTTAACGGGTTTGACTGAAATAAACTAACAGCAAGAAAATAGAAATACCGTTCAGCCCATCCACCTGGCCAGGGTAATATTATGATCTTTACATCTGATAATAGCAAGTCAGGAGGATGTCTCATAGCACTTCACAGAGTAAATCAACAGTGTGGATTTTGTAGAGAAACAAAGGATTTAAATTCAAATCTCAAGGTTCAGTTCAGCCATTGGCCCAAGCTATTCTTTTTTTTAAAACAAACTTTTCTTTTATTTCCTATTTTTATCCAATGGATCTTATTTTCCTTATTTATCTTCTATCTTTATTTCAGCATTATCATGGTTTCCAGTTTAAATTGGGTTTTTTTCCTGATTAAGAATTCCCATGTTCTTCCATCTTGGTTTCTTGGCTTTATTCTCATGATCTCCCAGGTGTGTCTTTCTCCATCTCCTGTCTCTATCCATCTGTAAGCTTTACATTTGCCTTCTAACATAAATATACAGTGCCAGCCACTGTTCTCTATTGCTATTCTAGTTAGTATTATAAATAAATAGTATTATTTTACTGGACCTAAATTTCCTTTTACGCTGTGAGAACTAAATGAATCATCAACACCAAATACCCAAACATTATTTTATATTAACTATTCCTAGCTAAATTTTCAAGCCATATTAGGCATTTTGCTTAGGCATTTTTTGTGGGAGAATTCAGGTAACCCTTGGATTTGATAACAGCACTGTTAGCACTTCGATGAAACATCTGAAAGTGCTTTACAGGATTTACTGTAAAGTGTAGTGACAGAATATCGCCAGACTACGGCACTACCTCACCCCTCACGCTGCTGAAACTCTGGTCCACGACTTTATCACCTCAAGGCTGGACTATGGGAACTCTCTCCTCGCCGGCCTTCCCGGCACCTCCCTCCACAAGCTGCAGGTCATTCAGAACTCTACAGCTCGTGTACTGTCCCACTCCAGGCTTCAGGACCACATCACTCCCACCCTCGCTCACCTCCACTGGCTCCCCATCCCTTAGAGGATCGAATTCAAGAACCTCATCCTCACCTACAAGGCCATTCACGGCCTCGCTCCCTCCTACCTCTCTGACGTACTATCCCCCTACCTACCTGCCCGTACCCTCCGTTCCTCTGGCTCCGGTCTGCTCCACATCCCCCGCCCCAACCGCTCTACCATCGGTGGCCGGGCCTTCAGCCTCTCAGCCCCGAGGTTCTGGAACTCTATCCCCCAGTGCCTTTGCCTTGCCTCCTCCCTTTCCTCCTTCAAGGCCGGTCTCAAGACCTTTCTCTTTGACCGTGCCTTCAGCTCCCTTCTCGACTCTCTACCCCTCCTCGCTCCCTCCCTTCCCTCCCCTCACCCTGACCATTTCCCCCCTCCTCGCTCCCTCCCTCCCCTCTCCTCACCCTGATCATTTCCCCCCACTGCTCGGGTCCTGACCCTACTGTACAGCGCCTTGGGACGTCCTCCCAACGTGAAAGGCGCTCTATAAATGGAATCTTGTTGTTGTTGTTGTTGTTGTGTGTTTAATAATAGTAATAACACAATCCTTAAATTTGGTATAGTCCCTTTCACATTAGGAAGGCTTCACCAAGTGCTTTACAGGATATACTGCAAAGTACAGTGACTGTGGTGTGTTTTGTGGGCAAATGTAGCAGGTAATTTGCACACAGCAATGCCCCACAAACAACCATGGAGTGAATGAACAAATTTATCTGGGATCGGGTGGGGGGGCGTGGGTGGGGGGAGAGATACCAGGACTCTGGAAGAAAATCACTTCTCTTTTTTTTGCATAGCGCGATGTAATCTTTAACAACCGGCGGGCGGTTTAACGTCTCATTCCACTATAAGAATGATAAGAATGACAGCATCATCCTGGACCTGAGAAGGAACTGGATTGGTTCCCATGATGTTTCCAGTGAACAAATGTAGTTTGCAGGCTGCCAATCTGGGATTCATTTCTCCCGTGACATCATTGGGATCCATCCACTGACATCATAAATAGCAATCTACTCCACTCATTCATTCTGAACCGTCCTTTTGCTGGAGTTTCACGCTGGATGGAGGATCAGACTGCCTTCCTGGTGCAATGGTATTCTGATTAAACGTCTGGATTTCCAGCCTTCAAACCCCAGGAGTGTGTGTGTGTGTGTGTGTGTGTGTGCAAGTGTGGAACCGCTGCA